GCAACTTTTAAGCAAAATAATGAAAAATAAAAAGAAATGAAGAAATAAACCAATGAATACATTGAAAATAAGCAATAGAAGGTATGTTATTTATAGTGAGAGTAATAAATAAGCGAGTGGTGCTTTTAATGACTGAATTTTAATGGCAAAACATGGCACTATTTGTAACAATATTGCAATATTGGAACGGGAAACACTTTTTTGCTTAAGTTAAAAACTACATGCTCTTTTCAAAATATGACAACATTGACGGTGACTCGAACTCTATACAAGCAGCGGCTCCTTTAGATGCGTTGATTACTATTTCCAAACATAAGGTTGTTCGGTTGTTTTGCAAATCCATGAATTGTGGACGGACTACTCTCCAGCATTTTATTCCATCGTTTCTAAAATATAAAGATACATAGGATTGGGAATATGTACAGTTACGTTTCTCTGTTTCACTCCGAGCAACCGCGAATGCTATACTAATAAAGAGAAAGTGTTTAAATAAGGCAATGGTGAACTAGCGGTAAACTAGTGTGAGCTTTGTCGGTGTTTCTAAAGAAACAGTTGTTTAAAAAGATAACGTTAATGCTGTAAAAAAGTAGGTGAAACAACTTAGAGTGGTTTTCATAAACCCGTGAAATACACTTTAGCTTAATACACTTTATTACACCCTAATACCATTGTTTTCTTTTGTTGTCATCTGACTATTACACTTTAACTAATAGTTTTTGTTTCACGGGTTTATGAAAACCACTCTACTGACGTATCGGACGTTATTTAATCCTTCGTCGGAGTTGTTACTGTGTTAAATTTATCTTTTTTAAACAAATGTTTTAATAGGCAATGTGCAACGACGCCATTTTGCAAAGCAAAACACGATGGCAAACTTACTGTTCATGTTACTCACTATACAGAAAACAGCAATACCTGTTGCAGTCTTTTCTGTTGCTGTAGTTTTCTATTTATGTTCGCTAAGCAGCAATCAACYCCAGTACATGCTTGGCAGACACCTGTGCCTAATGTATCATTGACTTTGATGCACAAAGCAAATAGAGTAAGCAGAACTAAGGCGGTGGTGGTGGACATGGCTCCCTTCATCTTAGCTTGTTTTCAAATGTGGCTGCTAATGTAACGAGTTTTATAGAGGCAATGTATAATTACGCATGTACATTAGCTATAGGTTAATTAATTGGTAAAGTGCCCTACTTACAAAAAAACTGATGACGATGTACCGTAATAAAACTAGGGAATCAGATATAATGGCCATCACAACTCAGGAACAGGTGTCTTCATGGAAGTAATTTACTACAGTTTATGAACGAATGGGATAAAGGAGGTAATATCCATAGTTCGTCTATATATATAAAAAGACCCTTGGACATAATTTCTTGTCATTTATCGTCACTCAAAGACTCCAATCAAGTATTGAATTCATACTTGTCGTGTTATCAATGATTCTAGCGTATTTTCAGTATCACCGAACTGGATTAAATGGATGTTAACCTTTTCGATAGAAACTGTTGACTTCCGCAGAAAAATAAGTACGTACTGAACGACTTCCTTACAAAACTATTAACGCCATATTGGTGATCTTCATTTGATAAAACGTGTACAGATAAAACCGTGTTTCTACGGGAAAATCTATTTGCACAGAGCACGTTCGTGTAAGGAAGGGCGTCTTGTAAAGAGGGCGTTTCTTCGAAAGGCCCAAAACCAAGACTGTGTTATATGGGTATTACGGTACCGAGAGCAAAGAAATCGTTGATAGGTTGCCCGGCAGACAGCTATAAGAAGCTATCTTCGAGAATTGAATGAAAGAAGTAAATCAATTTGCCAATACACAATATTAAACTCATGTAGACCTTTTTTAAGCATCTTGTCGAGTTCCTACTTTTATAATGAAGTAATTTACTTCGTAAAAGTCGAATAACTTTGTTATTTATACTTTTACTAGTAATCGCGCCGAAAAGGTCGATCCTGCTGATGGCAATTTGGATGTAGCCGGGAAGTGTGGGCGCTAGAAATGCTTTTAAAAATGCTATGTTCATATAATTTAATTTGCGTAGCGCATCATTAGAGAACTAATTTGTTCGCTCTCATGACCTTCACAAAATATATGWTCCACTAAAACCTAAATGAATCAAAGTACTTAGAAGTAAAACATTTTTAAAAAAAACATGAAATGAAAAATGTATTCGAGCTTCCTTCTCAGAGGCGAATCCAGAGATTTTGCAAGGGGGACATGCATAGATGACCATAGATTCTGAGCCCGTTGAGGTCTTGAGAAGATAACCTTGTGGCTTTATTGCTTACCTTATTTCAAACATTTTTTAAAAAAATACGATACAAGTATAAAACTTATTATGATATAAATTATGATACAGCCTTTTGCAAAAATTATGAGAATTGTTGAAATATCTAAATATCATAATATCAAGTACATGATGGGTAATCCCGCGCGATGCCCTTAGTCCCTTGTCTTTGTAGTTTAGGTTTTTTTTTTGACGACGGACTTATCCGTAGTTCTGAACATTTTCTCGATGTAAACAATGAATTATTCTAGCAAACTCGCTTGTTCCGTACAATATATGGATATAGATATTATGATATTTAGATATTTAGACAATTCTCATAATTTTTGCAAAAGGCTGTATGATATTTAAGAAAACCATATACAAATAAGTCCCCCTTGCCCCCACACTTGCATCCTCCCCGTTTTCGAGACTAGTTGTTGGGTTACCTGTGCTTTCAACTGCTCTGTCTATATTGTGTGTGAGCCCATTTGTTCAGCTGTGTTTGTCAGTATGTCATTTGAATGCCCACCGCAATAATAAAAAAAAAACTTTAAAAGACTTAAAAGGAGTGCAGTGTCAGCGAGATATCTCTCCTTTGCCGTTATGCAACTTTTCAGAAACKCCAACGCCTTTCAGGCTATTGAAAMAAAACAGTTTCTTACACAAGGYTGGAAGAAAAACATTTAGCGTGGGCCGTGTACGCTAATGAGAGGGTGAAATTTTAATTAAAATCCCAATTCCCAGTATAATTTTCGTTCATCCAAAAATACTTCTCTTTCCTGGCTTAGCCAAAGTTTATTTCGATTTTTTTTTAATCCCATTTCCCAGCCTCAAAGACAAAGACAAATACCCCAGTTCTCTAGRCTGTGTACATCCGTTTCTCATCACTCACAAAAAATCTGGGAGAGAACGATACGATCCGAGAGAAACGGATGTACACGTACAGGCTACAATTCTCAAGTTATATCTTCAGACACTGAGGACACTTTTATGATATTRGACCATACATTACCAAATGTAGCCTATAATTCCACTTGTCATCAAGAAATMTACATGCATGACATGAAAAATGCATCCATATTGTTATGCATTTGTTTCTTACAATTAAAGTTTTTTTCTCCTTCTATTCTCTTTTATAAATTATTGCGACCCTGCGGCCTTGTCATAGTGTTCTTTTGTTCCGTGTAGGGTMYGCATTAACTGACGTTTAAATCCACACAGTTTAATTACAGTATTGTCGAGTACTCAGCCCTATAATTGCTTCCATTATTGTTATCCCAGAACTCAAAAATGTTCATTTTGCAGCAAATTGCAAACTGTACCGCTCCTCGGTTCTGCTGGCTATCAGAGCGATGAATTCTCAGTTGAAATAGAAACTTGTCTGCTCTGCCATCACAACATTGATAAGCGAATTCTGCTTTCTCGTCTTTGTGCTCTTTCCATTCATTAAAAGTGTGTCGGACAAAAACCTCTTTTTTGTAGGCAAGGTTTTTGACGCGTATTACTCCAATCAGCACATTGCGAGATGACGAAACAAAAATATTTTCAAGGAGAACGCTGCTCTTTTCAAATCGTTGGAAAAAATCTGTTCTGAAAAGAGGCTGAGGTAAATAACGGCAAAGAAATTCAACTGAATTCTCTTTTGGTTTTGACCATTTTGGGGCTTTAGGTAATTCGGCCTCTTTCCATTCACTGCAGTTTTCACGAAGTTCGATGTTTCGGTTAAAATTCAACGGTTTTCGTCGTTCTTGGTCACCATAAACTTCTAAAGAGGAAAAATCTTCGAAACTTGAATTGGGAGTTATTGTTTTTACATATTCAAGTCGCTTTCCAAAGAAATCTGCAAACTTGACAGTTCTACCAGTAGAACAGCTGTTACAGCTCAAGGAACGCGACGGTGAAGCCATCGGATTATTTTTCTTGCAAAATGTTCTGTCAGATGGTCGGCGTTTCAGGCAGCTTGCTAACATGGTGGTCGATCTTGCTTTACCACTTGTAAGTCCTTTCCATGATGGAAGCTGCACCGACCGATACCATTGAATTCAGCGGAAAATCAGGTCAAATGAATAAATGTACAACTTGTCAAACCCGCCGAGACAACTATTGTTTGCATTGAGTTTAAAGGTCAAAATATTTTCACGTAGCGAGGCGAGCGATATATATATATATATATATATACTCTCTACATGTAGATCAGCAATAGTACGATCGTAGTTTACAGTTAATCTATTCAAATGCACGAAAATTGTGACGTAAATGAAAGACATTATTATTACATAGGGATTACTTCCTGGCCAAATCACGAAGTTTTTTTCTCTTTTCAGACTTACAGTATTGCATGATTACTGCAGAACATTGGAATACACAAATAAATATAATCAGAACAGTATTTTTGAGAGGAATGAACATTCTATGACGTTTTAAAGATGTTTCCAGAATACAATATCAAGTACTAGGTAACACTTTTTTAGTTATTCTGACAGCTGTCAATCAKTGTTGCTCTTGGCCTGGAGATGMGTCTGGGATAGCCTGCTAACAGCCATTCCTGKTGAGCCTAAGTCTGGGGATGAATTCGTTGAAACTGGAAATGCATGTTATTACTCCCTTGAGAGGATTTTGAAATTCAGTTGTAAAAGTGCATAGCTAGATTTCTGAGGATATACGGGGCTCGCATGACCCGTACAACATGACATGGTCATGAAACCTCGCGTGCCGAACATACCCCCCCCCCCCCCCCCTATATGCATTGGGCGCGGCTGGCCCGATTATGGGCTGATTTCTTTGTTTTGTTTCACCTTTCATGTGCGTGCAACATTCAACGATCATAAAAGCTAAAATTGAGCCAAAGATGAACCAATACGCGACGTGTGGAAACCGTAGCGTCTCGCACTCTAGTTGGCGTTATAATCCGTTGACACCYGTACAGACGAGGGAGCTTGCTGCAGCAACAAATTTGCCCCAGGAGGTTGTGCCCCATTTTTAACCAATGATATGAGGGAGCAAAAATAGATAGCAAAAGTTTTGTTGTGCAGCATTCTTTTTGCTTGAAATAGTTGATGCGGACGATGGGGGTTTGGTCAGGGAGCAGGCCTTTATCAAGCACCGCTACGCGACGGGAAAGATGAACGAAGTACAACATTTACTACATTGGAAAAACAAGGCTTTTACTAATTCTCAAYCATACCCTTCATCATAAGACTTATATAATAATTAATAACTATTCAACAGAAAAAAAGGTTAAAATTACCCATAGAGTTTTGCTACAATGTCCATTAGTGACTTTATAACCAGTAGAAGCTCTGTTTCCATCTAACATAATTTAACATTGTTCTGTACAAAGGGATCCCAAAATCCCGAGGTTCGTTGGCCGCTTATATCATAACTTTTCTTATGTATAACATACAATAGCACGGTTTCATTGTAATTCTTTAAAATATCTTTCTCCCCTCAAGCTGCGGGGAACTTGACTTGCATTTAGGTAATCCAATTAATAATATTAATAATAAGTTACTCAGTAATGTGATCAGGCTCGAGGTTTTGTTCGCGACGTCTCCACATCTTGAAGAACAAGCTTTCGAGGTCGTGTGTATATTGTCTCGTGTTGAAGAGCGGACTCGTGAAGCGGTTTTTCCACACTTTGGTGCGAAGTCTTTCGTAACTGGAAAGAAAAAGCCAAATAAAGTAAGGGTTCACGAATGCATTGAAAAATGATGGATGTGGAGTAAAGCGCATAAAAGGAAAGGAATAAAAAAGAGAGCGAGAAAAGAGAAAACAAGGTTACAGACGACGAGGACGTCCAAAAACATAAAAGGAAACAGTGAAGAACATGGCTTTGTCTAGTGGTACTTACTAAGGTTTATCGACTCCCAGTTTCACGGCGATTTCTTCGTAATTCGTCCGAGAGTCGGCGATTAATTCGGAGCACCCGAGCGCTGTAAGCTGTGAAGCAGCCACTCTTGATGCCAAAGTATCTAAAGGTAACGTTATCACTGGACAGCCAGCCCATAGGACATCCATACACGTTGTGTGGCCATTGCAAAGAGGGGTGTCCAGACACACATCAGCAAGCTGACCTCGACGTACATGTTCTTCTTTAGGGGCGACGGGTGAGAAGATTACTCTGCCTTCAGCAACTCCTTCCGATGCCATCTCGGCCTTTATGTTAGCTTCCCCGACAGCTGGGAATCTCAACAGCCACAACACGGAGTTTGGTACTTTTTTTAAAATGTTCGCCCAGACCTTGAGAGTTTTGGGGTCGATTTTATACAGCTGGTTAAAATTACAGTAGACAAATGCATTCTCAGGAAGCCCATACTGAGATCTATTAATGACTGGCGTTGTACTTGGAATTCTTTCGCCGCTATCTTTACACCCGGCATACTCCTCTTTCTTGGCTTCTACAAGAGCAGGCACCTTGTTGAGTAGACTAGGGTGTGTTTCGCCGTTCAAAAGTCGACTGATGGCGTGCGGTTGGTGTATGGCGTTGGTTTGACCGTTTTCTGTAACCACGACTTCAGTCGGTACAGTTCGCAGGCTTTGCATTAAGTGAGGAAACATTTGTTTGTGATCGCCAACAAAGAACGTGTGCGGCATGTAACTGAGTTTTTCTGAATACTGATCAGTGCAGTCCAATGGCGATGTTGTCTTGTCTGTTACAATATAGTCCATGTAGGGTGCACCACTTGTCCCTGGATAACCCAGCCACATAGCCTTGCGTAATACAAAAACAGATGAGACTTCAAAACTACTATGTTCCACAATTTACCAATTCTCTGCCCGGGCAACAAAAAGCTAGAACTTTGTAGCGATTATTTTCTACGTTTGAACCTTTAATGTCTATTTGCCCCGCGCACGCAAAGCTTACCGTTCATAAACAAATAAATAGCACTGAAGTAATTACCTGTATCGGTGCTGGTCGAAGAGCGAAGATTTCATTCCGTGCGCCCTTCGTATAGCCATTCATGTTGACCAAGATGTGAATTCCATCAGCATTGATGCGATCAGCCACATCACCATGGCACCCAGTGGATGAAAAATCAACGAAATGCTCACTCTCGTGGGATATCTTTTTACGAAAACTTGTGTTGTCATCAGGTGTAAGGGCGTAACAATAGACCTAAATAACAGATTTAACGATGACTATGATGTAGATGAATATAAATTATTATTCAGAATATGTAAAGAATTGACAATCTAAGTGACTAAAGAATATAGAAAGTGAAGAGGAAAGAAAGAAAAAGCAGGATTGAATAGAAGAGCGTTGAAAAAAACCTACGAACCTCAACTCTACTTCTATCGTGAAAACCAGGAATACTTTGCATCAGGTGCGATGTAGGGTGGTTACCGAAGTCACTGGAAACATAACCTACTCTTAGCCGACCACCAGACTGACTCAGGTCTTTAGGATAGTTGTATTCAGGCTTGCGCAGTAATGCCACCTAGAAATATATTATTCTTAAAATAAACGAACAATCACTCTCTTCCTTTACTTCCCGAAGAACTACCATTACTAGATGAACAATCTTGATGCGATTTGTTGTACCATGTCACGAAATTCACAGAAAACAAAAGCTTACCCAGTGAATAAAATTAGAAATAAAATAAAGGGTAATATCTATTTGGTTATAGATTGCTTTATACTATTTACCAAGACAATACATTAGCACGGGCTTGATAACAGCTTTTACAAAAAAATCTCAAGCGTCGATAAACTCAAATGTTTAGTGTTGACTATTATAAAACTTATTAATAATGCATGAGCTATTACTCCAATAAGGGTTGTCCATTTCATCAGGTGATTGAACTTGTAAATCAGATACAACACTGTGATACAACACTAGTGTTGTATAAGATTTACAACACGGTCGTCACCTTGAGACAACCCAACACTAGCAAAGGTCTCAGTTTTAGTGTCGCATCATAGACCTTCACTAGGTTTTGAAGCAATCAAAGACGGATAACAGACCTCGCTTATGCAACAGATTGGCTTGCTTTCCATGTGGGATGGATAATTATGGATAAAATGTTCTGTGTTGCAGAAAATTGTGCATGCTTAATAGCGACTCAACTCAGCAGTTTCCTTAATTGCCATTTTTTGTCATTTATCTCACTGTAATTCATGTTAATTTGTGTTGGAGTTTTATAAGTCGTTTACAACATTCGCGTCCGTGTTGTATGGGAATTACAATCTCTCGCCTGCGGCTCGAGATTGTAATTTCCCATACAACACGGCCGCTCATGTTGTAAACATTACTTATTAGACCTTGTTTTCACCTGCATATTAACACAAGAGGACGTACCTTCTCTACACACAGATTTCCATGTCTGTTAGCGATAGCTTTACGGAATTCATGGGTAAGGGGATAGAGCATACTGTGATGGGGATGTACAGATGGTAGTCGATTGTTGTCCAGTTGTTCAGCAACAATGGAGACAAGTTTTTTCATTCGAGAATCATAGTCTGTCCAGTCGCAGATGATCTGATAGAAATTTAAATTTGAATTACTAACTTCTAACAATAACAAGAGTTGTCCTCAGTTCAATCTTTGAGTACTATCATGTCTCTGTTCTGGCTAGAGGGAAAACTAGAGGATGCAATAAGATTTATTAGGCACTCTTTGTAATTAGGTTTTTAAGGAAACTAGAAATTTATCACATGAAGTAAAAAAAACCCAACAAACTGTGAAATAGATTAACCACATATAGACCTTAGAACACTCTAACTGCATTGTTTTCTTTGATGTCTATCTGTTAACCACACTTTAAGACTAATTTTGTTTCACAGGTTTAATGACTTATATCAAACCAAACACTCCATTATGAATTACTTGTCATACCTGTAAACAGTGAGCAAGATTACAGTAGGCATCAGGAAAATTGGATTTGAGTTTCAGAGCAGTTCTATATGACTGAATGGCTTCAGGAATGTTTCCAGAATCCTGTAAATCATGACCAACATGGATTGTCAGCAAATAAGTCACAATAGCCATGGATAAACAAATATTCCAACATCAAAATTCTTCACCGAATGATTTAATGAGATTGTATGTAGTTCAGATTGTTGTGAAATTAAGTACAAAAGATGTACAAATGCACATTAAATTAGAGTGAGCTATAAATAAATAATGCATAATGCAGAGGGTAGTGTAAATATTCTGTTGCATATACCTTGTGAACTGACGCTAAGTTACTGTGAGCATCAGCAAATGCAGGGTTGATTTGAATTGCTCTGGTGTAACATTGAATGGCTCCTTGAACATCTTGCATCTCTTTTAAAAGGTTACCCATGTTTGAGTAGGCATCAGCAAAAGTAGGATGAATTCTAAAAAAAAACAAATGCTTTTTATTAAGAAACCAATGTACTTCCAATTTACAGCACTAAAGTTTCACGAGACTTCTTCAGTTATTATTTTTTGAATCTTAAAGAAATCATTACTTTTTACAAGTAAAGTAAGAATAACAAACCTTATAGCTTCTTTATAATGTAGTAAAGCTTCTTGTAGCTTTCCTTGTTGTTGAAGGACACTGGCTAAATTGGAATGGGCTGCAGCAAATTCTGGGAATATCTGGTGTAAACAAAAGAAACAATAAAATAAAATAAATAACAGGTCAACATAATGTATTAGAAAATATAAAATAAGTTTTCAAACTAAGATGACCTACTTACATCTAAAGCTTTACAGTATAATCGTATAGACTCTTCTATTTTTCCTTGTTCTCGTTTAATATTTGCCAAGTTGTTTAAGGAATCAGCATGGGTGGGACATAGTCGTAGTGCTGTATTGTAGCATTCTTCTGCCTTATTAACCTGATCACAACAACAAACACATACAGTACAATTATTAGACATTATTTCATTGATGTTGTGTGTATTCACTGTAAACAAGACATAACATACTGACAAGTCAACTTTTTTAGTACCTTTTGTTGTTCTTTTAGTGCATTGGCCAAATTACAATAAGCGTCAGGGAAGTTAGGTTGGAGCTCAATAGCACGACGGTAGGTATCAACAGCTAAATCAATTAATCTGAAAAACAAAGACAGAATAAATTATTTCTTTTCCTTCTTATTTTGTACACTAATACACAATGTCACAACACAGCCTTAAAAGATACACCGCTAAGCTCACTTACCCCTGTTCATAATAGACACAAGCAAGATTTCCATGGACTACTGCATGATTTGGACTTAGATTCAAAGCTCTCAGATAAGCAGCAACAGCTCTAGAAATATAATAAGAGTTTAATGCAAATACTAGATGGACAACCAAGCATTAGAGTTCATTTCTACCTGTCAAATATTCTTGCTTCTTTCAAAACATTACCAAGATTGATGTATGCATCTAGGAAATTGGGGTCTAGCTGTACAGCCTAAGAAATAAACAATGACAAACTGAATTATACTTTGGTACAAGTCCAAAGGTTTCTGAACTTTTAGGAATGCAAAAACATCCATTACAAAAGTTACCATGAGCACAGGAATGGTAAGAGTCAGTAAAGGTATTTCCTAGTTTCAAAAAATCTTAATTGCGGGGTACATGTAGCCTTACATAGTTTAAAGGAGCAAGGCCTTTGATTCCAGACAACGTAACCACATTTCAAAGAAATGTTTGGTCAGTGATAATCCTAAACATCCAACTAAACATGTATCCTTTGTATGTCAGAATGATCTAATAACTTATCAAATTTCTTTATTTTGTGAAAGGGTTTATTCGGTAGATTAAACCAAATTTGCAAAATCTGATCCCAGTCTCTTGCTCCAATGAGCCAAAATCTAAAAATACCTTTTCAAAATGGTGGATAGCAAGCCATATTTCTCCTTGGGCATTGAATACACATCCTAAGTTACTCCAGGCGACAGCAAAGCTGGGTTGAGTCTCGATGGCTTTGAGGTAGCATGCCTTGTAGTCAAATGGGAAACAGCAAAAAGGGGAAAGCATAGAATAGAAGCCAGCAGCAAGCAAGATAAAAAAGCAAAATCAAGCAATAGAGGCAAAAGAGAAGAGCAGCAAAAAGAAAGTTATGGTTTTTGTTCTCATCCTTTCTAACAAAATTTAACATGGTGGGCCAGTGTTTGTCCAGCTGGCCCAACAAGTCTCCTTGTTGAACCAGACAAAGGAACTTCCCCTCAGCTGAAATAGAACACCTTCTGACTATATTGTTAGTGTCTTAGACACCCTCCCTTTATGGCCACAGTACACCTTGGAAGTTTTGTTTAGGACTTTCTCTCATTATGTGAGCTTCCCCTTGCTTAATCACCTGGAACTATCAAGGCTACAAATATCTTTTGATCATTTTCACACACAAAAAAGGATTTTTTTTAGTTTTGATACAATTTTTAATTACTATTTCAGTTTTAATCCTGACCTTAAATTGCTTTAAACTCTTTTGTATGTGAAAAGTTCTACTGATTAAACAGTTAAAGATATCTGCAACTTTGACACACAATTCACATAATTTCTGCAAAATCAATGGACTACATACATGTCTTTTAGAGGCAAACAAAAGTTGCAAAATTTAAAGCAGTTGTACAAGCAAAAAATTTGTCGCCAAGAGCCAAGTATACCTTGATAGGCTTAGCACCATTTTTCTTGCAGAAATCAGGTTAACAGCAATTAATCAATGAGCAGTACACAGAACAGAGAAAATCACATTGCATGCTATGTAGCATGAATGTCAAAATCCCCAAAAATGATTATATCAATGACAACTGTGCCTGTGCAATGCAGACATTACAAGGAAGGGTGTCTTTTGCCTAGTATTCTTCTCAAAAGCATGAGATTAATAACCATTAGAAAGAGAGTAAGCTGTGGGTTGTACTGAAGGATATGGACTGTGATCATTCGTTGATAAATCTTTGCCAATGTTTTAATATTTGATAAACAAATTCAACAAAACCTATTTGGTCCTTATTCATACATAATTTGTTGTAATAAATATTCAGAACTACAGTCCACAGCCTACAATGTACCCTGGGTCAAGCAGAAAGGACAAGCATTGAAGATTGGGGGTCCAGCAAGGAAGAACAGTTTGTTGGGTTGGAATGGGCAGACATGCCTTGTTGATGGTTCTGTAGCCCCAATATGTAGCAAATTGGTTCCTTGAAGTACTCCATCAATGATAACCCTATGTTTATTTATGAGAAAGAACAACAAGAGGGGAAAGAAGGGAGATTTTAATAAAGACCTGTCTTAAAGACTGAAAGATGGGTTATCCTTGATAGAATAACAGAAAATAATAGAGTTCTTTCATATCCCATGGAGTACATCTATCACTTCATGTGGATCAAAAAGACATACTATTTGGAGTACATCTATCACTTCATGTGGATCAAAAAGACATACTATTTGGAGTACATCTATCACTTCATGTGGATCAAAAAGACATACTATTTGGAGTACATCTATCACTTCATGTGGATCAAAAAGACATACTATTTGGAGTACATCTATCACTTCATGTGGATCAAAAAGACATACTATTTGGGTTAAACAGAGAGAACTCTACTTTTTCACAGGCTTTTCTGATATAACAGAATGCACAAGGAATCTATAGAAAATCACACAAATGTGTTTAAGCAAAATACTGTGTCAGATCTTTCTACAATCTTGAAATTACAAGGGAACTATACAAGAAACACATCTATGTGATCATCCACAGAAGCTTTCTGATAGGTTTGATTAACTAAGTGGATGTTTATCCACAAATCAACATTTCAATACAGCTTCTACACTGCATTCATAATATTGGAAATGATTTGTGGATTCCAACCAATGAATTAACCAAGTTGAAAGAGAGAACATTTCTACCACTGTCAAGGTACAAATACTGATACAATCACTAAGGATAGCCACAATAAAATTAATGAATGAATACAAAATACTTCCAAAATAGCTTCACCAATATTAAAAACAAAGTCTTTTTTTGATAATTTTTTTAGAAAATATTTCAGTACATTGTACCAACGACAGTACACCTTCCTTGTAATAAAAACCTATCTTTAATAATTATTATTGTACAGTAATGTTTGAAAATGTACCTTGGCTTCTTCTAGGCGACCAAGAGCCTTCAATAGATTGCCTAAATCACTTCTGACACAGTAAAGATCCTTTAACAATAATAATAAAACAATAACATTACTATAAATTTACTTCGTAGTAAATACTAGCAAATGTGATATGATGATGATAGTAATACAAAATAATATGAATACTAATTAATAATTGAACGTTTAGACTCTGTTTTCTCACAACAAAAACGCCAACAAATCCATAAAATGAAAGGTATTAGTTAGACACGCCATTTACGTCCCGACAAACAAAAGATCAACATATGATATGAGGATTTACGACAAACGAAATGACAAGAATTCCAACTTTCGCAACAAGTTTCACTGAAACCGYTCGTATTTATTTTTGCRAAGTCRAACAAGACGTACCGGGTTGTATTGCAAAGCAGTAGCGTAGGCATGAACAGCGCCTTCTAAGTCTCCAGCAGCAACTAGGGCAGCAGCTAAGTTAATGTAGCCATCGATAAAATCAGGTTTTAACTTGACAGCATGTCGGTAATTGTCGAGCGCGTCCTTTAACTGCCCTCTTTCTTTGAAGACATTGCCAAGATTAGAGTAAGCCTCAGCTAGCATTGGGTTTTGTTTGATGGCAAGAGCACTAAAATGTGCTGACCTAAATAACGAAGGAAAAATTATTAGGTAGTCGAGATTTCATAAACACAAAATACGATACTGACATTCAATACAAAAGGCACATAAAGCGAGCGGACGGCGGTTTGTTTCGACGGTTGAACAACAAACCGACCACAAAACTAACCTGTCAAGGCGACGGCATTGAAAATGAATGGAYGACAACAAAAGAAGGACTCCAGTGTTATTTGGCTCTCTTCTCCAGAGCTGCATACATATTTGTTCTGCTCTGTCATAGTTTCCAGTTTGATATTCACGATGGGCTATCTCAGCGAGAGTGGCTACAAAGGTTCAGAAATAAGATGTAGTTGCCGACCAAACGTCGAAAAAGGGGTACTGGTCACAAGGACTTTGATGTATTCTGTCGACTTCTCTGAATTTTTGACTTACCGGAGTCATCCAAAATCGCTGTTCCCATGACCATGACTGAATAATACGAAGAACAGAGCTACATAAGCCTTCCATGCACAGAAAAAGGCAAAAAACTGTTCTAAAAATCAAGATGGCGTCTATTATCGTATGCATGACAGCGACGTCATCTGCGCACACGCAAGGTAAGCAACTTTTGCGTCTCACCTGGGTAGTTTGGTTTTTCAGCCCAAAATTTCATGGTTATTTAGATCTTTAGTGGTAATTTAAGTTCAAAGAGGTTTCTTTAGATTACCATTTTGATGCACATGAGAGAACAGTACTAAAAGTTGCAAATTTTCGCTTTCTCAGTTCTTCGTGTCATCTTACAGTGCTGACCAAAMTGGTGGTTCTCCCTAGTATACYTATTCGTTGCTGTGAATGACGTAATTGTTGTTGCGTTTTCCGACCACGTGAATGACATTTGTCTAAAACGATATGTAATAGGAAAATTGAATTCAATCAGCGCGTAAATATTATTCTCGTAGATGTGTCGATGAAATTTGCACTTTAGATCAAACCAAAAGAAACCGTAACTTTAAACTTATACTAGAAATCTAATGAGTGGRTTAAGTTGATAAGTTTTATTGAGAATTTGAGATTTTGCTCAAGTAATTTTCACCAGTGCTTTCAACTTCTCATTGTTAAGTAATGTTCCCATAGTACCTCCTACGATGCATTGCTTTCGTTTCCTTTCGAATATATCCCGCAACGAAAAATCCACAAAAGAAAATAATACCAACAGTTTTAACATTAATATTCTGGTAATTTTTTTAGTCATCTATTTTTTTTCGTAATTTTCAATACATGAATTGCGCATATATGAAAAATATCAAAAATGTCGCCTTTCGGTCTTCATCGCTCACTGCCCTCGCTGAAACCTGGTCGGAGTGTCACCGGAAGACAATGGGAGCTTTACCATATTAGTACAACACGTGACAATAAGCTGATTGGCAGAGTTTATGAAATCACTTTGCAAACATTATACATCAGTTCATCTGGGTCCACGTTGGAAGAAGACWASTAGCATTTGGGAGGAACATTTCTAAGTAAGTATTCAGTTTTCTTCATTTTGAGCTGATTACTTTCGACTAGAGTGATTCTGACTTGAATTTTCTCATTGTTGTTAGGAAATATCTACTAAACATGTCTGATAAACCCGACATATCCGAAGTTACAAAATTCGACAAGTCAAAATTGAAGAAGACCGAGACCCAAGAGAAAAATCCTCTTCCAACGAAAGAAAGTAAGTACCATCGATCTATTTGCTTTCATGATTTAGGATTCAGGGATCGTAGAATTAGATTTAAAATTCAAAGGATTTAATTCATTTCTTTATTATTCTGTGGGTGTGTCGAAAGGAGCACGAGTTGCTCGTGTTTGCATCGATGCCTGAATCAATACACTTTCCAGGCATCCGYAAAATYTATTCCAACTATGAATGTAAAAATKGACAACGCCCCCACGATAGGGGATTCACACCCTTCTCCTTTCCCAAAATTATATTCCTAATATTTTTGTGCAGTATTTTGTATATTTTATCACYTTTAAATTTACTCCATTTTCACTTTAATCGATTGCTACTAGATCGATGGCGCCTGACCCTTATGCCTATTTTTTCTCTTTCCATAGCCATCGAACAAGAAAAGCAAGCATGATGATTTTATTAGCAAAAGAAATTTCTGATCTTGAAAAATGCTAGCACAATATTGTAATGTTTAAATAATGCTTTATTTTCGAAAAAATCAACACTAATTGTGAAATTAGGTTGGTATATATATGTAATAATAGTTTTGGTTTTCCAAAGAAATAGGTAAAAGCATTCTTATGCTTTTGCTAAAAAATTTGTAAAAAAAAACAGAATCACTTATTAATGTAACTGTGAAAGATCTTTAAGTTTTCATTGAATTGAACGATGAAATAAAATCTATAAGTGAATCATTGTGTGACTCATTGCCTCCTCGTGTCAGACTGTCAGTCTGGACGTGAACATATTTTACCCGGTTAAGTTCGACATTAATACGCTTGGATTTATTTGGCCGTAGAGTCAATTATGCAAATATACTTCTGTTGTTTTTTTGAATAGACAATGCCGCTCTATCATACATAGAATTATTTATTTAGATGTATATGCTTGTGTTTTTCCATGATGTTATTGTGATGTTAAATGTCTTGTCCTGACATTTGAAAGGTTTCCTAAGTAGATTGTCAAACCTACATTCCTTTATTCTGTGTAGGAATGATATTACCCTAGAAAGCATAAATATAGTATATTTGTGTCGAAAATTGTACATAATTTGTAGTTTTCTTTTATTTATAGTGTATTGTCTTCTCAGCTGCGGCTATATTCGGTATATCAACATCATAACCTTTTAAAAATACATATCACATTACATTAGTTGAATTCCATAATGCTAAAATTTTCAATTCTATAGGCATTGATAATCGACGAAAGCTGTTCTGTCAATTGTAGAAAATCAAACTCTTTTTTATTTGAACTGAACAAAGCTGTGTCTCAGCAGGGCTCCAATACATAAGCTTTATTACAAATCTAGTAAATCAGAATTTTAGTTGTGATATAACAGAGAAATATTTCACTTTCAATACAGATGTGTTATTAGCATTGACAATAGAATTGTATTACAGTATAAATCATTCCATACATTTCGTTTCGAAATGTTATTATACTTGCAGTCTCCTCAGTTATACATTACTTYCGATAATATTACCATGTTAAAAATTCAATATATCCATTCTCTATGCGCATTGCTTATCTGGTATTTTTTCTTTATCAAACAAAATTAGTCTATTCTCGATTGTAAATTCCTTAAAACCTGATAATTGTTCTTTCCTATTGAGCCATGTAGTTTTGAGATTGTTGAAATACTAACAAATATCAGTTCGGACATGCAAACCTTCACGGCGGAGATAGAATACTCCTGACCGCGAATGTCTTGGATGCGGGGGCTATGCCTGGTGTCAGGAGGTTCCTCAAAAATGTTTATAACATTTCTTTCAGTGGTAAAAAATATGTATAGTTGGCCGGAGTGGTTTGCGGAAATTAATGCAGCGTTACTATTTTCTAATCTTAGTAATCAATGTCATTGTGTAACGTTATACGCACAAAACAAGAGCAAAACATATGATCCGCGCATCCGCGCAGTACWGCGTCAAATATTTGTTACAAATTTGTTTGGCCATTCTTTCTTTTGTTATGAGCAAATATGTTGAATATTATGTGAGATAATAAAGAAAAGAACTTAAAGAGAAGATAAAAATATTTGATATGTCATCTCTAAATTGATGTTTTGAATTTTAAGGGCGCTTATCTCTGTATTGTGTCTATTTTCGTATATGAGTATCCATGAAGATAGCGTAAAAATAGCACTAGTCGTTCAACATTGTTGGTAAAGTGTTCAATAACACTAGTGATCGATCTTTGAGTTTTATTTATAAATGATTAATGGCATAATGCGCAGTCCTTGAACCGTAGAAGGCAAAGTGAAGCATACTTTTATGAATATTTGATGTGAACGATTTCAGAGACTTATAAATCCCATAAAGTTCGATGGAAGAGCCAGTTTAGTCATCGGTCATGATTCAGTATGATTGATGTTATCATACGATGACAACTAGTTGACATACGCACTGCATGATATTGGAGAGATATCACACTCTTTAATAGGATAATTGGCAATTGCATGCATCAATTGGCAACGCGCAAGAACACGCTCTGGATGAACGAACAATGAGCCAGGGCATGCGTTTTTCGTTCAGGAAGACCATAACCATTCTTTTGTCCGCAGCGGGGATCGGCAAATTTCATCTCTCGCCGTAAAGGCAGGTTACGTAAGACCCTTTAGTATCATTTTGCTCTGTGCTGGTCATAGTCTGCATTCAAACTCAGGAACGTCAGTGCTGTGGGAAATGAGTACAACATGGAGAGACTACATGTCAAGCAATCATATAAAAGAACGCTTCCCAAGAAGTTKATCTGGTTCTCCATCGCGTTGAGAGACTTGGGAGATCTACTATACATYGCTCGACCCCACAACTCATAAACCACTTATGACCCCTCCCATATACTAAAGGTCTTCATCAAGGAAAATATTTACAGGCGAGAAGAATCATTGTTTCCTGGCACTCATGCGAGGGAGTCAGTAATTACCGACTATGATCATTAACGTTTCACGCAGATGATGGTTTTAGCATTAAAATGTAGTCTTTTTCAATCTAAGATTTGATTTGTGGACATTCAGACGTAAATCCGGTTTGCATAATCACTAGACATGAAAGTACGTCTTGTCATAGAACTATGGTCTTGTGACTGACCAGAATATTTCATTGTAACCCGCTACCCAGCATTTATTAATTCATCAGCTTATGTTTATTTTACAGTTTATCATATATACCCTTACAGCTTGTTTTAGATATTTCAGGACGATAAATAAATGCCAACTACATTTCGATTCACCTTCTTCTCAAAGTCAATTCATAAGCGGAATGAGTTGGCTGCCAGGGGCGGATTTCGCTCGGCTTCCGATCGAAACAATCATACAAAGAAGCATCCGCAAGCCAAAGAATGTGGCATGCATAATATGAATGCAAAAAACCTATAATATGATATGTATATATAAATAATTAGGTGTATTATGCACTAAGTGGGGGAAAAARGTGGCCCAGTAAGCCACGATACGATGATTTGCGATCTGCCCAGCTGCGCACGTGGCTCTTTATAATGGACGGTATCAGTAATGACCGTCATCAGGAATAATTGGCGGTTAATAGATCACTTTACGTTAATTTTCCGCTACCTCAGAAGTCAACCTGAACCGTATAAATTTGAATTAAAAACATATAGCTWGTCATAACGGAAATTTATGAATAATRGTTAAGTGTTAAACAAAGAAAAATCACCCCCGCGAGACATCCAGTATTTATTTTGAAACACTAACCAAGCATGTCCATGAATTAGTAGCCTGTGTACATCCGTTTTTCACCCCTCCAAAAAAATCGGGGAGAGAACGTCGCCTCTCTCCCCGATTTTTTTGGAGGGGTGAAAAACGGATGTACACAGGCTATGAATTAGCAAATTTTCTCTTTGAATCAGTCTTCGAGACCGATTTATCAAATATTGGCACATGTCTTGGGGATCAGTATATCAAATCCAGAAACTCGGCTATGCCTCGTTTTTCAACATACATCACGGTGTTTTGACTACCATACCAATTAAAACGCTCGTATACATCTATGACGAAGACATACGTAAGGGTCAGTCATTCATGTAATGCCCTATGGCGGATTGGCAACAATACTCAGGATCATTTAAGGGCGGACTAGGCTTCTTATGGAGTCTTACGTYAAGTACTACCCCTGAAATTGAAACTTTTAACTGGTTATGCGCACTGTGATACAGTCAGCYCGTTCAGCAGAGCCTCGTTCCCAGGAAAAATGTCACCACGACTGAAGCCACAAAATCGATGTACGGAAGCTCCGGATACAGCTAGCAGTTGCCATGGCGCCAAGCCATATAATAGACAAAACCTTTAACTAGTTTGTTTATTTATAACTGTAGACAACAAAGGGTTGTATCATTTAAATGGGACTTATTGCCAAACAGGAAAAATATTCCCTGGCACATTAATCATGACAACACTCCAAGGATCATGAAAGGGGTCAACATATTTAYTGATAGTAATGAATAAACAAACACGTTTRGACCTCCCTGAGTTTGTCCCTGACTTCCCTATACGGAAATATGATGTAAGTGTCCGAAATGATGTAAATTTGATGTAAATGATTTACATCAAATTTACATGATTTTGGACACTTATATCAAATTTACAACCTTTGAAAGTGCACGATTTTTTCAAATATACATCCGGAACAGAAGACTGAGTTTGGGTAAAATTTGATGATTCAGTTCACGCGCAGTTACAGNAATTGTATCCATACACTTTAGCATAGTGAAGCAGGGCCCCCTCTCATAAGAGATCTATCCCTTGAGCAAGCCCCTTAATATGGCCACGATTTTTTATACTGAAATTTGGTTTTACAAATTAAAAATGAAAATCACAAAATTTACAAGAAAATTCTCGAAAATCCACCATGAAAACTGTCGGGCTACCTGTGTCTATCATGTGACGTATTCTCTTCCAGGTTGCAAGTTCTCGTCCAAAGCAATCAATATGGGGTTTGATTCAATAGTCCCTTCCGTGCTTAATTTTATATCTTCGCTGTCCTCTCCTATTCAGTTTCTTCTGTTGATAGGTGTAGTATTTGTGATAAGAAGAGTTTTAAAATCGAAATTCGAAAGACCTGTGGAAGAAGAGCCCGAAGTTACGGTGGAACCGTTCAACAAGAAACGAGATTTTACATCGGAGGAACTAAAGGAATACGATGGAGTCAAATCACCTTATGTTCTCATGMCAGTTAATGGAAAAGTTTTCGATGTAACAAGAGCTAAAGACTTCTACGGTCCTGGTAATGTAACTATTGATAATTTCCCTGCCAAAGACTACTCATGTATGGCAAAGACTGAGGCTTTGTTGATAATTTTTTTTGCACACGTCCTCGTTGATTTCCACTCGCAGTGGATCACACATGCGTACATGCATTTTATAATTGAGGTTGTCCTTCAARAGATCAATTGTGCTTTACATACTATCCTCTGAAAGTGTTTTGTTTTGAGGCTGAGAGAATAATATGATATTTAGTAAGGACAATTTAGYAAAGTGTCGACCAAAGTTGGGAAGTCAAAAGTCCTAAGTGCGTGCATGCATGTGCCATGCAACGAGGGGCTATAGAATATGTTATATCAGGTTTCAAGTTTGCGTGAACGGTTTAAAACGTTTTTGGCGCCATTTCAGTAAATCTTTTGATTGTTTAGCAAAAAGACAACGTGCACAGATAGATCTTTCTTCTATTATTATGCTAATTAGCTGAATGTTTTGATTAAAAAAATTCAAATGTTTGTTTATTTAAGCTTTGATATCTCACAATTCATATCATATGGTAGAAGCTTTTCAACATCGAGTCTTTATTAGGGATAAAYTTATAGAATTACTTTGAGCAAAGTTGTTATTGAGCAATAGAGACTGTGCTTTMTATTTCACTAGCTATTTGTTGCCCCCTAATTCCAACACTAAAGCTAACATTAACCAAGAAGGGGTGTTATACACATGAATTCCTTTCTGTATTTATTTGTCATTCATTTCTTTTTTTGCAGGTGGACCATATAGCATTTTTGCTGGACGTGATGCAAGCAGAGGATTAGCAACATTTTCACTCGGTGCAGAAGCTCTAAAGGATGAGTARGATGATCTATCAGACCTAAATAGCATGCAAATGGATTCTTTACGGGAATGGGAAACTCAGTTTGTTGAAAAATATGACCTTGTTGGCCGATACTTGAAACCTGGGGAGAAGCACCAACAGTATGAAGAATCAGAAACAGAAGAAGAGGATGGTAAAGGAAACAAAAAAGATGATTAAAAGAATGGAAAATGGCAAAAACTGAACAGATAACAATTGGAGATGACTTTTTGATTGGTCAGTGTCAGGCTTGGAAGTATCAGTTATATAGCAGTGAAGAATGGATACCTGTCCCTAGAGCTGTCTAGTATGTAACTGTAGATTTGAGGTTTTGTATTGAGTAGATTTACCGAATGTGTTTTTCGACACTGTCTAAAATACAGTAACAATCCAATTCAGCATTTGAAGCATTGTGTTTTTTGCTGCTGTCAAACATCTCTACTTAACTGCTTTGGAGATCTCTCACATGAGCCTGAAATTAATTAGCCCTTAATTCATAGTTTATTCAGTYTTAAGAGAGGATTCTGTAAAGCAGTTAGATTTTTTATTGAGTACAGCAAAAATACTGAATTTACTCATGTATAAGCCGCTCTCATAGATAAGTCGCACCCCGAGTTTTGGGAACGTTTGTGAGGGAAAAAAAATGCAATTTTCTCTTTGTGACCACCTCCTGCGAACATTATGATCAGTTTAAAATGTGGGGTGTATGCTGATTTTAGATTTATGCAAATTAGCTAGTTTTTTGGGGCTTTTTTACAAGTCTTCTAGTAGATAAGATGCACCCCCGATTTGGGAATTATATTTTTTTGGAAAAAATGCAGCTTATACATGTCGAGTAAATATGGTACCAAATGCTAAGTAAGAAATCTTGATGGCTGAAAACTGATCCAAAGTCAGTATTTGATCCTTGGAGATAGTATATTAACTTTGCAAAAATTAATGTAAACATTCTTTTTACACACAATGTATCTAAATGGTGTTTTAAAAGTTCCTTTACCTTATTTGGTTATCAAGAAGTCTTATAATAAGGCTTGTGATAAAATTCCATGTACTGATAATGGAATTTGTATTCTTGAACTTACAAGCTATTTTTCTTTCATCAAACTGTACAACATGGCATCTTGAGATTCAGTAGTTCATCAATATGATTTTCAGATTTTATTATTTGAAGACAGCAAAATGTTTTAGCAATAACAATTATTAGTCATGCAGTAACTTAACAACAAAAGAACTGGGGCATTGAAACAGCTATAACATGCAATCTAAACCTTGTATTGTTGGTTTGGTCCAAATATCTTCATTTTTGTGTCCAGTAACATGGCTGATGACGAAAAGGTCAATTTGTGGCCAGGATTTGGTAGTGTTTCATTTTATGAGCTAGATCCCAAAACCAACGTGGAGTCGTGTTTTTTTACATAAAGTAGTTACATCCTAAGTACTGAGGTGTTTTAGGATGTCATAGCCAGTTATCTAACAAGCCAAAGAATGATCATTATTAAAGTGYATCAGCAGAAAATAAGAGTCTGGATGTGTTGTTTTCTACTTTTCTACAATAAGAGGACTTAGGTGTGACTGAATATCAAACAGTACCAAGAAGTTATTAGGTGCTAGCTGTTCTCATATTTTGCAGACACCTCACTGTTGCAGTCTGGGTGTCTTTAAAGTGCACATGAATCCTTTTAAAAAATATTCATTCATATCCAGAAGAACTAGTGGCTTTTTTAGAAGGAAAATAGTTGTTTTAAAATCAATTGATTAATTTTAAGACTTTGTGGTAAAAAAAATTGTGCACACAGTTTTTGGTTGTTTGTCCCATTATTTACACACTCTTGAAGTCATAAAATGTTCAAAACTTTACAGTGAAAATGCTGTGCTAGTGGGTCCACTTGAGTTTCGWACATTTCCAGATGTCAAGACTCAGTCAATAAGAGGACATAGAGCTAAAAAGTATATGCAATTTGTTAAGATGTTAGATGGATTTTCAAATCATAAACTAGTGACAACATTTTTACAAAACCGATATAAAATCCATATGGTAAATATAAACCTAGAAAAATGTGTTTGTAATCCTCAGCTATAGTGATGCTCAATGTGACATAAGCCTTTGCTATTTGTGTGCCAACCAGAAGACGAGTTGTTAGAACAAAGTAGCCTGTGTACATCCATTTCTCGCCCTTCCAAAAAAATCAGGGAGAGATTTTTTTGGAGGGGTGAGAAACGGATGTACAAAGGCTAGAACAAAGCGACTTGCGAAAATCCATCAAGTGATCATGGTTGGCACAATACATAAGAATGAGTGTGTTGAAAAACATTGAGTACTGCTATAGTGATGCCTTTGCCATAAGCTGTGCCAACCATAATGTGTAGGTGTTTTCTTCCTGCAAGGAAAATCTGCATTTTCCCAAATCCATCATCTGTCTACACTTAAAGATGAATAGAAAGTTACATAAAGTCTCTACAAGATAGCACAGAATCTAGATGCTGCTCAAGCTCAGATTTTGCCCAACTTCCTAGCATAGGATTTTGATTTGACTTGCAAACTGTCTCTCCAATAGTTGAAGAAGACAGCCTGAAAATTCTTTGCCAGCAGGTTTTTGATAAGGCTTGCCACTACCATATGATATCAGTTTTATTATAATCTTTTTATAATTTAATSTGATGGACTGCTTTTAAGAACAGATGATAATTTTGTGGTTTTTGCAARMACTTGCTTTCGCAGAAGTTCTCTTTCAAGTTCCTTCTTGCGTTCATTCATTTCACGCAAATTTTTAATAAGTTTATCTCTCAACTCTTTTTCTTGTTGCTCAAGCCTTTCCTTCTCTTGCTTTTCTTCTTCTTCRTTTTTAWTTCTTTCTTGTTCCTGTTTCCTTTTATTCTCTTCTATTTGTTTTAGCATTTCCAATTCAACCTCCCTCTTCTTTCTTTCTTCTTCTTCRTCAGCTTTCTTGTTTGCAACTCTCTTRGTCAGTTCTGATAATATGTGGACTGCTTCTTCTTTCCTTTGGTCTTCTAGTCTTTGTCGTTTTTCTGCAAGTCTCCTTTCTTTTTCCTTCTTTGCTTCTTCTTTTTTCTGAATCTCCTCCATTTTGCGCTTTCTCTTTTCTTCCCTGTGTCTTCTCCTTTCTTCTTTTCTCTTGAGCTCTTCCATCATTTGCTTAACTTTCTCAGCTTCTCGTCTCTGTATTTCCATTCTTTCTTCATTTTTCCTTCTTTCCTCCTCTTCTTTTTCCTTTCTTTTTCTCTCTTCTTCTTTCTCTTCTTTATTAATCAGTTTCTGTCTTTCATGATTTCTTTTCTGGATATTTRTCTCACTTAAATGACTTGTTCTATCAAAATCCACTTGAATGTTTGCRGCAGCTGCACGTCCTTCTTCTGATACATGAATTAATTTCATTCCTTTTAAACCAGCCATTGCAGCCACAAACCCTTGATACTGTGAATACTGAATATATGCATCAAAGTGCAAGTGGGAACCGAAATAAAAAGTCTGAAATTCGTTGGCATTATTTGTAATTTGTTGTCGGTATTTATCCAAAATTGGAATATCGATACGTCGTACTTTACCAAAATGCCGAAATACTGATATCACAGTCTCTTCGCATGGCTTGTCACKAGATTGTTGTGAAGCGAACCATTTAGATGGCAGCCCTTTAATGACAACTGTATCAGGCCTTTCGCCAGGGTTGCATTCGTCCAAATCTTTTGCGTCTCTGAAGAAAGAATCCCATTCGTGTCTGGAAGGAAACTTTAATTTCGCTTCGACACATTTGACTTTTAAAGGATCAACAAATCCACTCAATTTAATAAAGTTACCCTCAAGCTTTGTGACAAACTTGGAAATGATCGCTTTGGTCTCCGTTTCACCTTCAAAACGAATAGTTTCAAGTGTGGACTCGACGACCCTCAGTATCGCAAACTGGTCTGGAGARACCATAGCTTTTAATTTCTCCATAACTTCCCAATTAGATATTGAAACTCCAGCTACTTTAATCTCTGGCAAAGACACTGAGATGCACAATTTAGCAATAGGTTTTAAATAAAGCTGTCTAATAGGGCAAATTTCTATCGCCTCACTGATATCGCTGCACGTTTGAGCCGCCATTTTGATTTTATTTTTGACATAAGTAGCCGAGCCTTAACCAAGTAGCCTGGCCTTATGCTTCGCAAGGGATCTTGGGTTTTGTTTACATCACCATCATGTCGCTCAAGGTACAAAGGTCGATTTTTGAACTGCTCTTTCAACGAAAATTCTCTAAGTTTTACACTATTATTGAAATCACATGAAGCATATTAATGGCAATGGCTCGGAACAGTCTTCAGGGCCAGGTTTCCACTTCATTTTCAAGGCACAAAGCGACGCAAATAAAACTACTTGACCTTCTACGCTCAGAGAAGCCAAGTCTCCACGTTGTATCGGTGCCGTCTCAGGCCGTTCATTGTGGGAAGAACAGGTTGAAATTTCCTGATCCAAACAATGATTGTTATGTTACATTTACTTTAACTGGGCAAACAGCCCGAGTTTCGTTGCCTGTACATTACAAACTGGAAAAGACACAGGAAGTAGAACTGGAAGAAGATGACTGCCCTTCTGAAGTTCATTTGCATGGTCTTTGGTATAGTTTACAAATAGAGTCSGTCACGCGATATTCATCGCAAGGTGAAGAACTTTCCTCGAATTCATCAGAGAAATCCTACTGTTGTTACCCATTGTCAGARACAAGAAGATGCGAATCTAGCATCACCTGRTATGGCCTCTGGTTTCGTTTGCTAGAGGAAGAAACACGTTATCATTTTCGCGTTGTTTTGAAYTTAGAGGGAGGTGAATTCTTTCCCAAAGAGTTCTTCAAGAATGATCCCTATCTTACTAACGTCATAGATGAAAATGGGGTCGTTTGTGGTGTAGAATTTGACATATGTACCAAGCCCGGTGARACAAAGTCTGAGAAGAAATCAAAGAGTGTCTTACTTCCAAAAGCCACCAACACTTCAACATCACCACTACATTTATACTCCAATGAGAATTACAAAAAGTTTATTAAGTCTGTGCAGGAACTCAAATTTGAAGCTAAGTATGATGATCTTGAAAAACTTTTATCAAATGCGTCGACAAAGTACAAGYCAGACTATGACATTAAGGTAGTGGTGCTTTTGGAGCAGGGGCTTGTTGCTTGTCGTAAAAGATTTTGCGATTATGCAAAAGAGCTTTTTAAAAATGCTGTCGATTTAGTTGGACGGTGTAAAAATAAAGCTCTTTTGACTGGCCGCATCTACGTTTACCTATCTGAAGTACATTTTAATGAAGGGTTTATAGGGAATGCTGGTGAAAGTCTTTCCGTTGCCAGAAAATACCTAGAGAACTTTGGCTTGTGTGAAGATCTTGGTGACCTGTGTTTCTGTGAGGGGCTCATTTTAATGGTCTATGCCAAGAGAACACAAGCATTTCTAAAAAACCTTATACCAGAAGCAAGGGATAAGTTCTTGGAGGCTGCCAGGAACTTTAGTCATGGTGAAAGTGTGAGCCACATGGGTGATAAACTTTGCTGCACGTATATCAAGCTTGCATCACTTGAGCTGCAGCCAATGCCTAATGAACAGAGCAAGGAGCTTGAAGTATCACCTGAACAAGTATCAAAAGCCAAGTCTTACCTTGAAAAAGCTCAACAGTCAATGGATGCACTATCAGAGCAAACAAAAGTGTATTACCATCTGTGCTCAGCTGAGTTTAACATAGTTACAAATCAAATGGAAAAAGCCAAAGGACTGTTCAACAAAGCTCTGGAGCTTGCTAAATCTATTGGACTACAGCAATTTGTACATGTTGACATTGCCCTTGAGGAAGTCAAAAGGTGTTTGGAGATGGAGGATGATGCTGTTTTCAAAGAGAAGCAAGTTGTTCAAGAAGAAAGACTACCTATCAGAAATATAACGTGTGACAAGTCAGATAATGATGGRTATCTTGGAGACAGGAGTGATGAAGACATCTAGGAGTCAARCCACTTTGACWATTACAGACAGCCTTGGTTGTCATCCAATTTTAAGTATGTAAACAGTTGCACTACTACATTTTGAAAACATCATGAAATTTAATTGGTTGAATGAGGGCACTTTTAAATCTTAAATTAGATGTTGGTAATTACTACAAGTAAAACCAGTGCAGGTAATGCTAGTAGCTCCTCYTCATTTCTTGCTTGARCATGCAGTGCATGCTCAGTGGCCAACTGTTCAGTGGAGTACGCCAAAAGCTTCTTTGACCGTACTTTTTTAAATGTACAGGAGAATGAAATAAATGCAAAAATTATTTTTTTTGTTCAATTGTATATACCTAGAAGTCCAGAGGTGACTATAAATAAATGAACATAAACATTCCAGGAAAATATTAGTTTTTCTTCTACATCATAAATCAATTGTATCGACATGTATAATATATTAACTTTTTATAATACTTAACATTAATTGAACCATAAGTTCAAGTGGATTACTTGAACAATAGAGTAGGCATTATGCTTTGATAGCTACTAGCTGAAACTGAATGTTCTGTAAAACAAATAGAAAGAAAAAGAAAAACGTTCTTAGGCGACTATTAAGTTTTGAGGAACATCCAGTTATCCAAGGGCAGCTATCTCATCATAATGCCTGAGATTTAGGCTTCTCTATCGTTTTTATTATTCAACAACAAGATTCTCTGATGCAGCAGGCTCTGTGCACTGTTAGCACCCCTCTTCCCCTCAGCGTCAGGCACTATCACATCAGATAGTTGACTCTCCACCAATAAGGGCGGAGGAAAATTATTGTTGAATTATAATAGTTCCTAAGGCTGTACAGTATCTATCAACTCTTATAGTCAACAACAAATTTCCCCCACTCATTGGTTAAGAGTAGGGCATGTAAAGTGATAGTGCCTTTAAATTTCATTTTATATTTATATATATCTTTTTCACATCAGTACTAGGGCGGCAGTCTCYGAATGTGTGGACGTATAGGCAATTACAAACCATTATAAAGATGCAGCTTGGCTGCTATTTTTCTCATGTAACTTGAATAATACTTGTATAATACTTGAATAAAAATAAAGATATATCTCATTTAGCTTTATCACTTTAGATTTCTTGACTTCAGCATYCAAAATGAATGCTCACAGGGATGGATGTAGAGAATTGAGGGAAAAAATGTTGTGAAAGTCTGGAAATCCCATTTCTCAAGATCTCAAGTTCAAAATATTCTTGGGGGCATTYCCTATGTCTGCTACCTCCATTGGTCAATGACCCAGGACTTCATGACCCTCCCCTTACATTCTAGATCCATCCGTGGCTTTACTTTGTGCAAACTCTATTACTCCTTTTTGTCTTACCTTTAGCCTACGTAGCCAGACATTCCTAGCCGCTCCTAGAGTTTTTCCTTTTGGGTTTCTCTGGCCCAAACTCTCTCAGAGCGGCTAGGAACGAATGGCTATGTACTCTACTTCCCTTCAAAGACATAGTGAAACACTTGAATTTTTGCAGAGCAAGCAGGCATATATTAAACATACTTTTGGGGTTATTCAAACAGACATTAAAAAGCACAAGGACTGGCTGATACATCTTTGCATGTGGCATAGCAACAATCATGGTTCTTATGCCTGAGGTATTTCCATATTGCAACTTGACAGTTCCCAAAATAGAAAATTAAAAATCAGACAAAGTTAGACTTAAACAATAAAAACAAGAGAAACACTGATACCATTAAAAGAAATTTAATCATTATTTACATGTTCGAATACAATTTACAATATTTGTATTTTTCAACAATAAATATCATTATTAATGTGGTATTTAGTTATGCAAAGTGTTTCTTTGGACTCAAAGTACGTTTGGACWGTGGAAATACTTCAGTATTGTTCTCATCCTTGTCAGCACTGTTGTCACCAGAGTCAGCATTCTTTTTCCTGAAGAAGATGAKAAATTGTGATAAAAACAAATAAGATGTCAAACTGAAAAAAAAAACACCAATGAAAGCAACTCAAAATATTGGAAATTGTAATTGTTCAGTTGTTATAGTTAACAAAATACTAAATATAGCTTTTTCCATGAAACTATAGTTCAATAGATTCACAATCCTATGACGTCAAAATGTGATGAAAACAAAAAAGTAG